ATTTGTGTCATATCTGATTGCACATCTGTGCTCCTTCAGTGTATGAAAATAGTGACAGCTGTGTGTAAGGAGGAGAAGCCTTTATAAAAACACTTGAGCAGCAAAATGGTTTTAGTTACACTGGAGGATGCTGCATAACCCAAGAGGAGAACCTGTAACTGCATGAGGGATAAATTCTTTACTCCTTTTACCAATGCAACCCTGATGTAACCACAAAGAGTCTGACCTCCTCTCATAAGCAGACTCAGTATCTGAGAAGCTGATCTTGGGTTGAACACATTCATTGGCAACATATACACAGACCTAGTACCTCTCAGGTTCTCCCGTAAAAAGAGGAGAGAACTGAGAGCATAGTAACAAGAGGCAGAATGAAGAGGCAGAAACAGGAGCTTTCCTTGTTCCTAGGAGACAGCTGACTGACAGAGCCTCTGCAGCTGGAGCTTCTGCAGTCAGAGGCAGCACATGTCTCTTTTAAACATAAATCAGATGAGACATTACAGTACTTTTAATACACCCATTACTCTTCAAGCTGCTGCTGTTGAATATTTATCATATGGCTTGCTTTGTGTACTGCCTTCTGAAGCGTGGTGGTGGTACTTGAAGATTAAATGTGAACATGCATTTGTCCATCACCCCTTTGACAGTGGGTTTGGGCTCTTCCTAACCTTCAACAGATGCTCCTTGTATGAAGCAGCTGGTGTCCTTAGACCAATCCATCACTCAGACATCCCTAGAGAGGAAACTCAAGCTCAGCAATCAGAGAGTACGAGCAAGAGGTGGATCTGTTCTCTGGCAAATTCGGAAAGGAGCTAACCAGGAATTTTGCTGCCTCCCTCTTGCCCCTGCCATAGCTCCCATTCACTGCCTGGCTTCAGAGAGCAGCAAAGCTGGCAGCTTGGGGCTGAGCCACTGGCACATTCATGGGAATATCATGAAGACATCTCTATAAGGTCCTGAGGCCTAGATAAGCAACAGCTCTCCTTGGCTGTGAAAGGTATAATTATGAGATTTGCTTTAGAGGCTTTCTTAGAGCTTACAAGTCACCCATGTATGGCAGTAGCTGCTGTGATGGCTGGCATCTGCTGTAATTGTAGGGTCTGTATAGGATATGTCCCCCTCCCTTGAAGAGGAAAGACTGGATTCTCCTGCTGGGCATCCTGCTGGGGACTTCTAGTGCTACTCTGCCTGGTCACGTCTTGCCTCCAGACTGTGTTCCACAGTGCCATGAAACCCACCAGGAGCTGAGTTTCTTCCCTGCGTGAGTGGTCCTTGACCATTACAAAGGCTATGGACCCTTTCTGGTGTGCTCACTACAGACCTATAGGCTAAGGGGAGGACCAGGCATGTTGGGATGCTTTTAAAACTTTTTGTTCCTAGGGTCCATGCACTTGTTAAAATCTGTGCTGCTCTTAAGTATGAGGTTATATTAGGAAAAAAGTGATATGCAGAGGATGCCTTTAAGAATCAGCAGCTGCCCTACAGACAGTCTCCTGCATAGCTTTATTCTTCCCACTTTGTGCACCCGCTGTGTATCTGAGGAAACTGAAGTCTTGTGGGAGGAGAGGTGTGTGGTCGCAGAATTAGACTACATATATATATATACACAGAGAGATGAAGGGATGATTTAAGATGTCCCCTACAATGCTAAGCCTGATACTTTGCCTCTTATCCAGATTAATTTCCTAGGAATAATATTTTCTTTAAAGAAAAAAGGATAAAAATAAATACTGTTATCCTGCATTAGCAGCAGGGCTGGAGCCCTGTGTCTTTCCCACGTCTCTGCTTCCAAGTGCTGCTGTCCTCGGAGTCCTTCCTAACATATGCCAGACCGCTCTTGGCCTGGTCTGAGCCTGGCACATTGGTGAATGCAATATTTTGCACAAGGCAGCATCATCCCACGTAGCCTACAGCTTCCCATCTGAGTCCCACACAGACTTCCCGATCACTTCCTAGCTGGGCTGCAGCATGGGTAGAAAGCTGCCCATCCTTCTGTAAAACAGGAGTGTAGTGCCTGAAGAGGCTTGATAAAGCTGCAGTAAAATTCAGGAGAGAGCCTCATTGGGCAAAGCTTTCTGTTAATGGGGTCTGTGCCCAGTGCACCCACTTGGAGAACAATGTGTCTCTTGGGTTACCTTACTTTTTCAGTCCCATGGGACCTCCCCTCCTTTCAGAGGAAGACCAGTAGAAATGAGGGAAACTAAGAAAGCAGTAATAACTCGTACTGGATCTGCAGTGGTTCCTGCTGGTCAGTCGTGATGGTTTTGGCCAAGCTTCTGTCAGCATAGTCAATCTTCCCAGAAAAGGGGAGAAGCTGAACATTTGGGAAGTTGTTCTTCCTTAGAGGTGCTTCAGTACTCCTGGCAATGAGACTCCTCTGTCTTTGTGAGGGGGTCCCTCCTTGCTGCCCACCAGAACTGGATGTGATCGCGGAGTGTCCCTGTTTTGGTTCTTGCTTTTTTCTTTGCTGACGGCTACTGCTCAGTGCTCTAAACTCCTCAGCCTTCTCCAGATCTCAGTTTTGAATGCCATAATGGACTGGGCAGCTACAGATCTTTCCCACAGCCCTCATCGGGCCTTTTCCAGCTTCCAGTAGCAGAGGGAAAATCTCCCTTTTTCTGAAGGGATAAAAATGGAAGCACCTGCAGGGCTTTGCTTCATCCTAACAGCACATTCATCCTGATATTTTCCATCTCCATGTAAGGACTGAAATAAGACTCATCATATCCTGGGGGCTTTTTGTACTTTGTGTTTAATATAACATTCTTTATTATTAGTTTTAGGAAAGCTGAATTGCATTTACAGGAGATCTTTAATGTGTTTAAGTCTTTGGTTCCTTTATGTTTTTATATGGTCACCGGTTCAACTTTCGACTTGTGGCTTGAACTGAAAACAGGAAAGCCAGAAAGTGAGAATGTTTCCAAAATGCTGCTTTCACTTTGCAGTATATTTGTAAAAGTTCTAAATAAATACCAAGATCTCCCACACCAGCATATCTGGAGCACTGAGAAAGTGCTTCAGAAAGTCTTTTCTCTACAGCTACTCTTACACCTCTTGCCCCTAAAAAGCAGCTTACTGCAGATATGCAGTTACAAGTGCAGTGTGATCCTGGAGGCTATCAGAAATAAGAAGAAATGTTTTGGAAGTGCATTTACCAGCCAGAGAAGCAACAAAGCAGATGGTTTGATGTGTCCAAAGTGGGTCAGTGCAAGGCGATGGGAATGCTGCTTCCCTTCTCCATCAGCTTTTGACCTAATTGCTCAAGCTCAGAACATCTCAGACACTTATTGAAGATTTCCCTTGTTTTCTGTGACCACGTGGCACCACATCCTACAGGGATGGCTCATCACCAGCTTTGTAATGAGATAACCACAGGGAACCCAGGGTGATAAATTTATGGCACTAGGAAATGGCTTTACCTCACAGGACAAACTGTTTTGCTGCCAGAATTGGGAAGGGAGATAAACTACTTTCTCCTGTCTGAAACAAAAGGTTTTATCACCTTCCAAATTAGCAGCTATGGGGGAAAAGGCAACCAAAAGGGACAGAATCTGGAAGGGTTTAGAGCCTCTGATACTGGACTGTTAAAGGCTGCCATTTCATTAACCTCTCAGCTCGTGTAATCACAACCACATATTCAGATTTTGCTTCTGATTTCATTTCCTAGTCTGTTTTCTTATCCTGTGATCTATGGATGAGTATCGTATTTGCCTATTGGCAGAAGAAGTTTGGAGCAGGGAGCGGTATATATGTCAGTGGTTTTCTTATGCAGACGTTTTATGGACTAAATAATGCTGGCAGTTACTGTTTTCTTCCCCCGCAAGAGAACATATAATTTATTCCTGTCTTATTACATTGGAAGAAATACAGCACAAAAGAAAAAGGGAAGAAAACCACCAAAAAAGGATATGAAGATATAATCCCTTCTAGCCAAAAAAATACCAACTCTATGACCAACTCCTTGTGTGTGGGGAAATTCAGCTTCTAGATTATTTTGATAAACTTTGTTACAATCAGTTTCACACAAAACCCAGCCGCTTGTTTAATCTTAACTGCTTGCAGAAATGTCACCCAGTAAGGACACTGAGGTTATTGGGTTTTCTTCCTTTCAAAAAAAAGAGAGTTTGTTTATTTTCCTTCTGTTATTTGGTTTCCCTCTGTAGATTTATAAGGGCTCTGCCACCAACAGCCTTGTATTTGCTCATGAGCTGGCTGTGTGGTTTGTCTGCTTGCAAGAGCAGGAGCATCCGCAGTGGGAGGCAGCTGCGCGGGCAGGCATGGGGTGCAGATGGAGCCTGCATCCAACCCCAGCCATGCTCCCTGCACTGGCAGCATGGATGTGCCAGAACAGCCTCAAAGTAGAAGGGAGTCATAACGTAGTACCAGTCCATTCCAGGAAAATGCCATCACTGAAAAGAAGCCAAATTTGCGCTATCTACAGGATGAAATCAAAAGCCTCCCACTGGCCTGTGAGTCACTGTGGTCCTCTTTCAGCAGCTCACACAAACAGGATTTTGGTGGCAGTCACTGAGGTTTCACAGAGCTGCTGTGCCTGTGGCAGTTGCTGGCCATGTGCTGCATCTCCTGTGCAAACTTAAGACCAGCAACATCCAGCTGCAAGAGGTGCCATGCGTGCCCCTTTTATAGCTGTTGTCCAGCATCCATCCCCTGCTTGCCCTCGCAGTGTGTTTGTGTGCAGTTTGCTCCAAGGGCAGGAGTAGATCTGCTGCTCACACCTCTTCCCAATGTGCTGCACTGTCTGTCTCATAGCAATGGGGGGGCTGCAGTCACACAAAGCTGCTGCTGTGTGAACCTCTCCAGTACCAGGACTCCTCCGTTGAGAGCATAACAAGGTTGCAGAGCTCAGCCACTGGCACTGCTGATAGCCGTGATTAGAGCCAGGGATGAAACCCTGTTTGCTGACCATCTGCATGGTGCTATTGTGTTATCCCACATGGCAGGCAATGCCTCTAACCCTCCTTTTTCATCTGTTCCCTCCTCAGGCAAGATCCTGTTCCGGAGGAGCCATGTCCGAGATGTAGCTGTGAAGAGGCTGAAGCCCATCGATGAGTACTGCAGGGTAAGAGCTCTGGGGGAGCATCTTGCACCCCATCAGCACTGGGCTTTCCCTTATGGATACTTCTGAGAGCTTCATCTGTGTCGAGTCCATCATAAGGAATGATGGTCTTTCCCAGACACCACCAAAACTAAGAGAGCGGGTGAAAACAGGCCATTGTTTGCTCCCAGGGTCCTCGTGGCATCTTCCCCTGCAAACTTCATGCCTCATTTAGTCACTAAGACTGTAAGTCTCATCTGCCCTAAATTAGTTCTACATCAGCCTTGATGAATGTAGGAGTTGATCAGGCAGAGAGGCACAACTAAGATGGTGCTTTCTTCTGTTCCCTGCCTCTGTGTCTCCCAGTGCTGCATGAGGAGCAGTGCAGGCTGGCTCAGCCCTGTAGGGACTGGTGGCTTCCAGGAGTGTTTCTCCTGGTGAGTGAAAGCCTGGAGATTTACTTCAGGACCAAGAAGCACAGCCGTGCTGAGAAGGTTAGGTCACCTAATCTTCCCTTTCTAGTTTGGAGTTTATGATTTGACAAGAATGCTCTGACAGTAGATTAAAAGTAATTTCTGAGCAAGGCAGATACCCTTTTTTGTAAAGGCATCGAACGCGTCAGTCAGCGCATAATTCAAACCCCAGACTTCCTCTCTTATTTCCCATGGGTTTTTCTTTCCGTTTTTAGAAAGCCAGAGGAGCAGGTGGAGGGGAAAAAAATACATTCCCAAGAACTTCTCCAGTCAGACATTCGCTCACCCCAAATTGGGAGCAGATCGCCCAAGTGCCCGAGGCGTGCTGGGGCAGCGGGGCGGGGGGGCAGGGGGGTGAAACCCATGCCATCTGCACCCCCCAGGCGAGGAAGCTGTGATTAAAGTCTTATCTCATGAGATCAGGCTTTCTTGTGCGACAATTAACGCACTGTCTTCCTGCCTGCGGCTCAGCGTCCCTCTCTCAAATATGCGGGGTCTCACTGTGTCCCCAGCCGCCCTCCTGCAGACAGGAACTGCCGGCGACGCGCAGTGAGGGCTGATGTCAGGGTTCACCCAGCAGATGCGTGGTGGAGAATGCGGTGACTTGTGTGTGGGGCAGCTCCTTCTCTGGAACCCCATTGTCTGCACCACAGACAGACCCGACCCGACCCTGCCAGGCCCACTGGCGCCCCACCGGTCACTACCAAGGGGTATGTTGTGGTGTCGGTGCTGGCACGTTTGTTGACACCGTGGCACTGTGATTGCCACCCCCCTCCTCGCTTCCTTTTTTCTCTTCTGGAGAAGTCTGGCTCTGTTCATAGAATGGTAGAATGGCTTCACTGTGCTTCAGATGGGTCGGGGCAGACCTGCTGCTGCTGCCCAGCTCAGAGAGATGGCTGGGTGCTTCCCCAAAGCTAAGCTGTTTACTTAACCTATTTATTAATAGGCACTGCTTTTCTGAGCATAGACCCAGCCACCTTGGGTTAGCCCTGTTTTCCCCAGCACAGTGTTTCCTGTCTCAAGCAGTAGCAGCAGAAAATTATCACAGCTTCCAGTGAATTCTGTCTTATAAGTTTCTTGTGCCTGATACAGTGCTTTTTTATTTCATGTGCAGTTTACTGTGATTTGTCTTTAGTTTGCCTTTGTACGTCACTGCAGAAGATCATAGAGTTTTAGAATGGTTTGGGCTGGAAAGGACCTTAAGATCATCTAGTTCCAAGCCTCCTGCCATGGGCAGGGACGCTTCCCACTAGACCAGGTTGCTCAAGGCCCTGTCCAATATTGCCTTGAACACTGACAGGACTGTTTAAATCTGGATGGCACTGGAGACTGAGGCTTGTAGTCATGGAAAAGTTTGACCAGGCATTGCATCTTATGTCTGAGTGCTTTGAGAGGGCTACATCCTCTGTTGTGTCTTTCTGCATGGAGTGCCAGGTCTTTAAGGAAAAAGGCCCTGGCTAATTCATCCGTCCCCCTGGGATTATCTTGATGTAGTGCGTATGAACATGGTTGTGTCTGAGTAGCCTGGGCTGCAGGTAGGTGAGTGTTCGGCTGGTCCTGGGCAGCAAAGTACTGCCAAGGTTTTTTTCCATTCCCTTCATTTGACTCCAAACCCATGCCTAGACATTAACGGTGTCCGCTGTGGATGGTAGGCAAGCTTGTACCCCTCTTCAATCACAGAATCATAGAATAGTTAGGGTTGGAAAGGACCTTAAGATCATCCAGTTCCAACCCCCCTGCCATGGGCAGGGACACCTCACACTAAACCATGTCACCCAAGGCTCTGTCCAACCTGGCCTTGAACACTGCCAGGGATGGAGCATTCACAACCTCCCTGGGCAACCCATTCCAGTGCCTCAGCACCCTCACAGTAAAGAACTTCCTCCCTATATCCAATCTAAACTTCCTCAGTTTAAGTTTGAACCCATTACTCCTTGTCCTATCACTGCAATCCAATAACAGTATAGAAGTAGTTATGATGTCCTGCCTGTCATCAGATCCAGTTATGGGCTGATTTCTTCACCTTCTGCTACAGCTTCCTTCTAATTACAGAGAGTAAATGAAGATGGTAGCTGGTAATGCCATTGTCTGACATGGGAAGTTCCCAGTCATTCTTAAATCCCATAGCATACAGTTGGCAACCTGTGTAAATAGTAAACAGAGGGAGCTGAAAGTTGCAGCTCATGCCTCTTCCAAGTCTGCATATTTTATTAGAGTAACATTTTCTTTTGAAGTTTTATGGTTCATCCAATTTGCATTTATTCAAAGAATAATTGTCCTGTGCTATTGCTATTCCAAACCTGGCCCAGGATATGAAAGTCCACAAGACTGAGAATAATTATGTGAATCAGGCACTGGACTTCAAAGGTACAATAAATGTACCTTGTAGAAGGAGAGCTTCTTGGTGCTGTGAAGTCAGTGGTAGATCTGTTACAGACCTTCAGCAGGGACAGGATTTCATCTCTGGAGCTTAGCAGAGGCTTAAAATTGCTTTCTTGCTACCTTCACGGAAAGTCACCACTTAGAGGGATTCTGGGAACATGGCCTTTGTAACCTTACTGTAATCTTCCCATCCCAGATGCAGTTAACCAGGAATGACAGCAAGCTGTGAATTGGGTGGTGACTGAACCAGAGTGGCCTCACTTCGCCAGCCTGAGCCAGATACAGGCTCTCTCTCCATTCAGCTGTTAACTACAGAGGGAATCTGGGTGACTTGCTAACTTGTGACCCAATGCTAACTTTTGGAATGCTGAAGTGCAGTGCAGTGAATCCCCTCTTGGTGTAAAAGGGATTTTAAATTTCTTTCGGCTTATCAAATAATATTACTTATTACCATTTCCCACTTTGTAGCAGCCACTTTTGCATGTGCTTGTCTTGAGAGTGGGATCACTCTGAAAACGTTATCTGTTTTCTGTATTTCTTCCTCTGGCCAGTGGATGTTTTGACCCTTTAGGGAATTGTATAGAACTGTAGAGCGAGAGCATAACTTTGACAAGTTCAGTCCTGTTTCTACAACAGAAGGGTGCAAAGCTCATGTCCCATGCTAGTTCTAAAGTGAGTAGGCAGGCAACATGCTTGATTTTGAAAAATTTAGGGAATTACGCTGGAATGATGTGGGTGAAGTTGATGGAGAAAATGTGACGTGGGATAATAGAATGGATACATGAGACAATAGACCTCTGTCCGCTGGAATCTGTGAGGAAGCAGAGGGGGGAGGCAGGTTCAGATGCAAAGCTCAGAGTAATTTTTTTTTGTCAGATGAAGGTTCTCCATCTATTTCACCTGCCTTGGAAAGACAAAGCACAGATGGGCCCTGGCAAATAGCGGTGCAAATGCTCGACCATTTGTTGTTTAGTTTTTGCAGGCTGTCTCTGACAGAGCGCGGTGATTTGCACTGCTGAGGAGCAGGTCTGACTTCTGCTGTTTGTGGTGTTGGCTCCTGCACCGGCCACAGAAGCAGTGACAGGCAGAGAGTTTGTGGTGATGCTTGGCAGTAAAGGGAGGTCTGCAGAATGTTCTTTATCAGGGCCATGAGCCCTCTGGACCTTACAGTATGGGCCTCCAAACTCCTCACACATGGGCGATTCTTCATTGCGTTGTACCAGCTTAGAGAAATGCCATCGCAGAGGTAGTCAGGCCAGTGTTTTTCTTCTGGCCTCAAGAAACTTTGAAGTTGCAATGAAAAACAGAGGAGTGGGGGACAGAGGGGAAGATTTCCAGGACTTTTCCCATCTGTAAACATGAAAGTGCAGTCTGGGTGCTCTTAGCAGTAACCTGAGTGAGTTACCAAACAAACTTGTGTTTTGCCAGTAAATGTGTGCTGCCCACTGGAGTTGGTATCTCTGAATGATTTTCCTCTTAGCTGTAGGCTTGGAATTAGTTTAGTGTGACTTAAGGTCTTCTGGGCTCATTGGGCCTGGTTTTCTGAATTTGTTTAGGGTTTTTTGCCAATGTAAAAGAAAGAGCAGTTTCATAGCCTGCCCTTGCCAGGGGCATTTTATTTATTAAGCTTTTGACTTCTCAAGCACACCTCTGGTGTGTGTTTGTCCAGTATATATTGTCCTGTATTCAAGAAAGACCTCTCATGTCAGTGGTTCACAAAACCACTGCACTGCCCTTACACAGCCCTCTGGGAAGACTCAGGCCAGCATTTGCAGACTTGCATCTTTGTGTGCATTGGTCCTAATTGAAGGAAGCATCTTTGTGCATGGAAGTTCTTAAGATGTGAAGCCCCACTGTCATGAACACCTGTATTGGTGACATGCCTCCGTGCTGTCCTGACTGGAGGTGGCTTTAATTAGAAACTGATGGGATTTCCTATAGTGACCCTGGACTACCCAAATGCACATCACCTAAATAAAAATTCGAGGAGCAAGTCACATCAGTGCCAGGAAATACTGATCACTTTTATTAATGTTCACAACTTGAGAGACCATGCTTCAAAACCATAATTAGCTCCCTCTTGGTTTCTTAGCCCTGCCTCTCTTTCAGGTTTTAATTCTTGAACCCATCAAGACAGATGCACAGATGTTTCTCTCTATCCATTGTAAA